AGCTGGGTGCCGGTGTCGGAAGACCAGTCACAGGGTGTCTATGTGAGTGGCTTCTTTGACTACACGAAGATCTGCAGGAATCGGAAGACTCTGATTATCTCCGTCGAACCGTAACTTGGACTAACATTTGCAATTTGTTGAATCAAATTTGCAACAAGAGTCCTCTGAGACAGTCCAAGGTTCTTTGGTCAGAGGAGACGGGTGGACAGACACATTGACTTGGAGATGTTCAACCCGAACTACCAGAGAGGTCGCAATCAGAGGATTCTTGGTGGCAGTGTGAGCCCTCTGAATTGTGCAGCACATGGTTTATGTCTCAGGGTCTTGACTTTGTAGTATGAACAGTACATGACCTCAGGATCCTGCAGGTGATCCAGAAGATCTTCGACCCTTGGTATGATGATGTTCTCATTCAATGCTCCACTGGATTTGGCGGGAGTGCTCTGGTTGCTGCAATGGCTGTGGTAGCCGGCCAGGGCACGAGCTGGACCAGAGCCGACTCTTGGCTAAACACTCATGATGCCTTGATGTGTTTAATATGTTTTCTTGATTTGTTTTGTGTTGTTTACTGGCTTTGTGCATCTTGATGTTGGTTGCTGTCTTGGCAATGCCTGTGTGATGCACTTTGGAACTGAGAAAGCAGTGGTATCAGAACATCGTCCGGGCTGTTACTGGCCATATGATGATGAGCTACTGGGCTGAACTGTTATGTGCATTGTGCATGCCAATGTGGAATGGGTGTTTGCTCCATGTGCTCCCCTTAGGTTTGGATTTGCTGTATGTGAACTGAGAGATGACATCCAGGAGATCGTTGCCGGCCAAAGTCGCCAAGAGTAAAAAAAGAATCTTGTGCACCTGTCCTGTGGGGTTGTTACTTGTACAATGGTGCTCAAAGTGATGACGTGATCTTACTTCATCAATGTGTATTGGTTGCAGGGCCTGGTGTGGAACTCAGGCACTATTATTTGTGATTTACAGAGTGTTCCATAACAATGAACAAGGATGGCACCTCATGGTACTTATGAGCACCTTTGCTGTTGAGGCTGTTCATTGTGCAGGCCTGGCCTCATGTTTTCGAAATGATAAGTAGTGACATCAGCAACTTCCATGCTGACTAGTGTTTTCACTACTGGTATGTTGACTGCAGGACCAACTGGACTGTGAAGTGACATGCACAGCTTGTTGTTTCACCAAAGTATTGAACATTTAGAGACTGCTGTGATACGACTTGCTGTTTTAATCACCTGTGATTGCATGATGAAGCTTCAGGGTCTGGCTTCCCAAGTCTCTGAAAATATGAGGTTACCTATTCTCAAGACTTAGTTCTCCAAGTGTTGAAACATATATGTTGTGTGATCTTCACAGAAATGGTGTTCAAGACTTGGTGTTCCAAGTGTTGAAAGCATTGATGTACAAAATATTGATGCAACCTGTAGAAGGAACAGTTCATTATTTGGACATGCATGTACTACATCTGGTACCAATAGAAATAAACATCAGATGGCTTATATTAAGTTTCAATCAAGACTTGGCTGTCTGCCCAAGTCTTGATGTGTTGTGATAAGGCTGCAGAACTTGGCTTCACAAGTTTTCAAACTCTATTCAAGACTTGGTGTCCCAAGTATTGAAAACTGCTCCTTGTGCAAGGCATCTGGGGCCCAGCAAAAAAAATGGCTACTATTCAAGTCCTTGCCTGAAACACCTGGTTTTCCAAGTCTTGAAAAGGTTCAGGACCTGGTTTTCCAAGTCTTGACAATGATTGCACTCTGCAAGACTTGGCTTTCCAAGTCTTGAAACTTTTTGCAGGAAACAGTTTGATCATATTATGTCTTTCATGACTTGGTCTTCCAAGGCATGAACACAAGTGAAAATATTTGTCAAGACTTGGCTGCCACAGGTCTGAAATCTTACATATTTCTTTCAAGACTTGGCATGCCAAGTTTTGAAATGTTACATTTTTGCAACTCCATGTCCCCAAGTCTTGACAATGATTGCATTCTTCAAGACTTGGCTTTCCAAGTCTTGAAACTTTTTGCAGGAAACAGTTCGATCATGGACCTAAGTAAGAATTGAATTATGTCTTTCATGGCTTGGTCTTCCAAGACATGAACACAAGTGAAAATATTTGTCAAGACTTGGCTGCCACAGGCCTGAAATCTTACATATTTCTTTCAAGACTTGGCATGCCAAGTTTTGAAATGTTACATGTTTGCCACTCCATGTCCCCAAGTCTTGACAATGATTGCACTCTTCAAGACTTGGCTTTCCAAGTCTTGAAACTTTTTGCAGGAAACAGTTTGATCATGGACCTAAGTAAGAATTGAATTATGTCTTTCATGACTTGGTCTTCCAAGACATGAACACAAGTGAAAATAATTGTCAAGACTTGGCTGCCACAGGTCTGAAATAGTTCATATTTCATATTTCTTTCAAGACTTGGCATGCCAAGTTTTGAAATGTTACATGTTTGCAACTCCATGTCCCCAAGTCTTGACAATGATTGCACTCTTCAAGACTTGGGCCCAAGTCTTGAAACTTTTTGCAGGAAACAGTTTGGTCATGGACCTAAGTAAGAATTGAATTATGTCTTTCATGACTTGGTCTTCCAAGACATGAACACAAGTGAAAATATTTGTCAAGACTTGGCTGCCACAGGTCTGAAATAGTTCATATTTCATATTTCTTTCAAGACTTGGCATGCCAAGTTTTGACATGTTACATTTTTGCAACTCCATGTCCCCAAGTCTTGACAATGATTGCACTCTTCAAGACTTGGCTTTCCAAGTCTTGAAACTTATTGCAGGAAACAGTTTGATCATGGACCTAAGAAAGAATTGAATTATGTTTTTTTCATGACTTGGTCTTCCAAGACATGAACACAAGTGAAAATATTTGTCAAGACTTGGCTGCCACAGGCCTGAAATCTTACATATTTCTTTCAAGACTTGGCATGCCAAGTTTTGAAATGTTACATGTTTGCCACTCCATGTCCCCAAGTCTTGACAATGATTGCACTATTCAAGACTTGGCTTTCCAAGTCTTGAAACTTTTTGCAGGAAACAGTTTGATCATGGACCTAAGTAAGAATTGAATTATGTCTTTCATGACTTGGTCTTCCAAGACATGAACAAATGTGAAAATATTTGTCAAGACTTGGCTGCCACAGGCCTGAAATCTTACATATTTCTTTCAAGACTTGGCATGCCAAGTTTTGAAATGTTACATGTTTGCCACTCCATGTCCCCAAGTCTTGACAATGATTGCACTCTTCAAGACTTGGCTTTCCAAGTCTTGAAACTTATTGCAGGAAACAGTTTGATCATGGACCTAAGAAAGAATTGAATTATGTTTTTTTCATGACTTGGTCTTCCAAGACATGAACACATATGCCTTCACATTTTGGGCATTTGTCTGGAAAACACTTGGGGCTGTCTGGAAATACTTGTCATGTCTGGAAAACTTAGGAAACACAGACGCACTCAAAAATGAAACACACATGTGATGCAAAGCAATCTGCCGCACATTTTTCCACCATGTTCACACGTCAAAGACCTGGGTTCAACCAGCAGGGAGATGCTTGAGATACAACAGGTTCCTTTGAACTTGAGCTGCTACTGGTGCCTGGATTCAACCAGCAGGGAGACGCTTGAGATACCACAGGTTCCTTTGAAACCTTTTCTCTTTTCTGCCGCAATGGAGCTTTTACACCACGACCAACCAAGCTGAAACTTGGATCCAACCAAGATGGTGCTGCTTTGTCCACAGCCTTCTTCTCCAACTTTGTCTCCACAGCCTTCTTCTCCAACTTTGTCTCCTTAGACTTTTGCGATCTCATCTTGGAAGAAACTGCAGCCAATCGTTTGGCCTTGGATTTCTTGGGTTTTTTGTGCTTGAGCTTCTTCTTGGCACTGCAAGCCTTCTTCGCTTTCTTGGTACTTGAAGCACTCTTTACATTTTTTTTTCGGCCTTAAGTTTTTGAGTCTTTCCCTTCCGCCATGCCTGAAAGATGGCACGTCCAAGAGTGGCCGGGTATGAGGCAGACTCTTTCAACCTTGAAGCTATGCCAGTGATCTTCTTCACCCCATTCTCCACAGTAGTTTTGCTTGTTCGCAAATGATGTCTGTCTCCGCAAGGACACGGACGAACAACAGCCTTGATCCAATCACCACTGGCAATGAAGCGATACTTCTTCCAAATTTTGGGTTTCAATTTCTTTTTGTTCTCCCAAGCACATCGGTGAGTCACAGCAGAATGCATGTTCATCTCCATCATTGCCTCTGTGAAAGGTGGCCAGTGGAAAATGTAGGACTTGACAGGGTTCTCCAGAGCAATTTCTGCCTCACGTTTTTCTGCCACTTGCATCAAGATGATAGCCCCAATAGCCATCTCATTTGCTTCTTTGCAGTAGCTTGGGTCACCAAAATACTTGTTGGCCTTTTTTCTTTTGGTCTTCACTACGTTCAACCACATCCATGGACCACAGCGAGGGGCAAGGAAGCACAACCCATTTTGTTTCAACCGCATCACCAGCTTGATGGCATTGACAAAGCCCTGCTTGCAAGAAAAATCTTCACTTTCCTCACCTGTGCAGTCACTTTGCCCTGGAACACGAAGTATGTCGAAAGCAGCTGAAGCAAAACCTGCCTTCTCAGCAGCACGGTGTATAGAAGCTACACCAGCAAAAATTTCGATGACATCCAAGTCGCGGTCCAAAGTTTGAAACTGGGGATCGGCCAAAATGTTTTCCACTGTGAAGCCATGGTAGGACAAAGGCTCTGCAGCATCAGTCATGATGCACAGCTATCTGTAAACCAAAAACTACAGGACGTGATGTAATGTGAGCTTGCATGCCTGACACATAGATTCACTGCAAGATCACTTGAAACATGGACTGCCATGCATGTTTCCCCATGAACCAAGAACAACATCTGCCATGCATGTTTTTCCCCATGAGCCAAGAACAACATGTACTGCCATGCATTGCTGCTGCAAGCCAAGTTTTAACGGTTGAAGCGCACCATCATTCGCCAGAAATTTGGCAAGTGGCTGTACAAAGGGCTGTCAAACAGTGGCACTGGAATCCTTCTGTCCACTGCAGCCACCAGGCTTTCAAGGAACCCATCTTGAGAAGGCTCTCTTTGTCTTCCATGAACCAGGATTCTGATTTCAGCTGCTGCTCGAAAAAATGAATGCTCTGGTCCCCAATCTGCAGACAATTTCTCAAGCTCAGATGCAAATTTGAGCAGGTCTGCCTTGCGCTTGTCTGCCATGACCACTTCACATGACGTGCTTGGAGTTGCTGGAAGTTGATGGGCCCTTGTGTGTGGGATGAGGAGGACTGGTGCAAAGCTGTCTCTGCTTGCCATAAACGCCTTTGTCACACAGAAAATGTCCAAGTCATTCTTCTCCTGGACCTGTGTTTGTGCCTCATTCTTTGTCACCTCCTCCATTTCTTGACGGCTCAAATCCATCCGACATTTGAAAGTGAAAGAGTGCGGGCACTCTGCTCCTTGTCTGGGCAAAAAGCAATTGTAGGGGGTACAACCATAGCTGGCAAGCCATGGTTTGAAGTCCCGGCAGTGGGTAAGCAACGTGGATCGTATTTTGTAACCCTTTTCTGCAAGAAAGGATTCCATGGCACTGATGCTGTTGACCAGATCCTGTGGAGTTTTCATCTTGGTTTTCCTCAAGACCTTGCTCAGCAGGATGCTGAATACAAAATCAACATCCTCATGCGTGTGCCCCTTCCTCAAAAAACACAAGGAAGTTGTGTCAAAGGCAAAACGCCGAACCAACATTCCCATTCCTAGCACAACCTCTGCGTTTTTGGCCTGTGCAACAGTGTTGTCACACTGGAGACAAAGATGTTTTGGCAGCTCCAAGCCCTGCTGACGCCGCAACTGCTTGATGTGGGCCAGTGATCGAACCAAGGTTTCCATCACAAATGACCCTCCATGCACCATGCCCTCCTCCTCTGTCACCCAAAAATCTGCACTGTATCCATGACAGAGATTCAAGTGGATGCAGCAGCGAGGACGATGGAATTTGTCAAGGAGCTTGGGAGCACCATTGATAAAACCATAGGATGGGTACACGAGTTTCGATTTGTCCAGCCCATCTATTATTATAGAAAGGACATCACTCTGTGGTTGCTTGCTTTGGTACCTAAGGCACCAGTAAACAACACGATCTTGATATTGAGATCTGAGATGCTCCCTCCACTGTTTGGCAACTGCTTGCTTTTCACGAAATGAAGCCTTTGAACAATGTATGAACTGGGAGGCCTTGAAACACACATCACACTGAGAGTGCTGGGCAGGTTTACGAAGCCTCAGGCAATGAAACCATGTTGAGATCCAGCATCTCCAAAAAGTGCTCCATGACGCCTTTTTGTCGTCAGTGCTACCCCAGCCAAGATAGAGCATCCAAAGATCAACAACACGTTGATGCTGTATGTACCGGACAGGAAGCTGGTTACCACCAGCAAAGGCAGCAATGCTGTTCAGCATTTGTTTTTCAGGATCCTGCCCAAGCAGTGGCAAAAGGCCCTCTGTCTGGAAACATTGTTGTACTGCAGCATCACTTTTACCACTTTGCTCTGCCTCAATTTGTGAGTCAACATCATTCAGCTGGAACTCATGTTCTGGTAGATACTCAGCTGCGGTATGATACAGATTGTAAAAAAACATATCAACTGAAATTCGAGAATCTGTCACAGTCTTTCCATTTGTTGTACGACCATCAGCATTGCCACCTGCATGCTTGTAGAAGGTCCGTGGTGCGGTTTGCAAAATTTCACACAAGTGGGAAATACAGATTCGCCGTCCCAGGAACTTTACACATACTCGGCTGCTTGCATGTGAGCCAGCTTGCTCATACAAAGTGTTCAACACAATTGTTTTGTGATCTCTTTTCATTGAATGCCACAAGGCAACAAAGGCCACAGCGTCAGATGCATTCCAAGGTGGCTGACAAGCAGTGCAACCCTTTTTCCCTTTCCCATGCCGGCATGGGTTTTTCAAAGAATGGTGCACCTTCTGAACGATTTCCTTTGGAAGATCCTCTTGTTTCAAAACGTGCTCTGCTTCCCCAAGAACAAGCAATGCGGAGCCAATAGTCAAGTCAATCTCTGGACCTGAAGGTTTCGGCTCTGGCACTGCATCTGATCTTGGTGTAAAATCAAATTTGCTGTCGACCTGTGGATTCAGCCAATGGGCTTGTTTCAGCTTGGGGTTGGACACCCCTGAAGGACATGCTCTTTTGACTGCCACAGGTGTATTCAACCAGTCAGGCACTGAAGGGCTAGATAAACTTGAGGATGATGTAGCAACACCCGGGTTCAGCCAATCCAATGTGTTTTTCTCATCAGCTTCAGCTACAGCAGGATTGGTCCAAGGATGCATCACCAGTTGCCATTGAACCCTTGATCCAAAATCTTGCATGCAAATTGAAGTTGGGTGAAGCTCAGACAATCAAAATCAACGCAGTGTTATTTATTGTCAAAGTGAATTGGCATGAATTGGCCATGTTATGATTCTCTGTGTGGGTTGTGGGGGCACATGTGTTGACTTTTTGCTTCACCCTGTCACATCATCATCCATGCTGTTTGCCATAAAGTTTTGCAAATTCCCTGCATTTTTTCTCCCGCAAATGGTCTGCTACGAAAGTGTCCCCATGCATCAGCTGTTTCAAACTGATGTCAAAAGACAAATGCTGTCTGATGGACAGACAAGCAAATCCCTAGCTAGATGGTTGCAGCCAAACTACTTCTTGAAGGCCTTGGCTACATTATCCCTCCACTGAGCACTGGCCTGCTTGATGCAAGCTCGCACATCTGCCTGAGTTGGCTTGGGACTCTTGGGAAGGGCATTGATCTTCTTCTTCAGGAAGTTGTAGTACTCCGTTTGAGACACAGAACGGCCAAAAGCAACCTTGCGACCTGGAAACATCTTTTCAATCTCATCCCTTGACTTGCCATAGAGCTCCTTCTTGAGATTGAACAACTCCAGCATCTCTGGATCTGCAGGTGGCCTGTAGCCAGCAAAGGTGCCCATTGTGTTCCTTGGAGCCCTTTTTTTCTCAGCATCAGCAACGGGCTTGCCCCCACCACTCTGACCAGTTGGCATTGGGGTGGAGCTCACAGCATCCCCTGGCTTCTTCTCAGAGCTCACATCATTCCCTGGCTTCTTCTCAGAGCTCACATCATCCTTTGGCTTCTTCTCATCTTTTGTCAAGTTGTCATCCAACTTCTCTGGGTGCCCTGCCTGACGCACCTTGGTCTCCTCCTTCTGCTTAGCAGCATTTGCAGCCAAGCGGCGGCAAGCAATCTCACTCTCATCAGCAGCCTTTTTGGCCAAAGCATGTGCTGCTGCAGCGCTTTTCTCAAGTGCAGTCTTTTGAGATGCACTGAGGCGAGATGCCTTGCGAGGACGGTCTCCAAGACTAGGAGCAGGATCAGCAACACGAGGGTTGGCCCAGTCTGCCCAAGCAGGGCGGTTTGCCCCAGGATTCTCCTGAAACATTTTGTGCAGGCATTGCTGCTTGTCTCCTTGCAATGGCTCTTCTTTCTTTTCTGTGCTCCAACTCCAATCATCACAGGCTGCTGGTGGTTCTGAGCGAATCTGCTTTGAAACTTCGTCATCCATTGCCATCCAGTCAACGTCATCCATACCTAAGCCACTTTCCGCCAACAAGCTAGCCATGACGATTACAGAACAAGTGACGATACAGAACGAGGCAATGGATGCTGAAAAGGCTGCTGTGGGCAAATAGCAAGATTTGACCATCAGGAAATGATGAGCAACAAGGCAATGGCAATGGTGAAAGGTTAACGGTTGCTGTGGGCAAATAGCAAGATATGACATGAAATGGTGTTGACTAAAACTTAGTGAATTTCAATTGTAGCAAATCAAAGCATGACCCACCCTTGGAGATCAGCACTGGTTTTGCTCGGCAGCTCTCGGATCTAGGCTGTCTGCTCTGCCAAAATCCTGAATGCATCTCGGATCTAGGCTGTTGCCCTCGAAAATGTTTCACTGGTTGTCAGCTCTGCCAAAATCCTGAATGCATCTCACACAAGCTTGCTGATCTTCCCAGCTGGAACAACTGAATCCTCAGAGACAAAGAGTCCCGGCTTCTCAGGAGTCAAAGAGAAGGATTGTGCATTGTTGCTGACAAGCCATCGGGGCATGACCTGAAGCACACAAGTCTTGTCGGTGTATCCAGGTCCAAAAGTGCTTCGCGTCTTCGAGGTTGATGCCAAAACCAGGCTGCCAGCATCCTCCCAGGTTGGAGGTTTGGCACTTGCAATCTTTCGCGGTGTTTCTGCTGGCACAAAAACACAGGGCCCTGTCTTCGTCACTTTGAAGGTTCGACTCTGCACATCACCCGCCTCATCCTGGTCAAAAGGTTGCAGCAGCAGTTAGAACAATTTCACAATTGAAATGCCTAATCAAAATCACAAACATCTTGATACAGCACTATCACAAACATCTTAATAAAGCACTGCAAATCTCTCCTTGTTCACTTGGGGCTCGATCTTGTGACATGCCAGATCAAGTGTAGTGACATCTGAACCATCCTTCTCCAGCTTGAGCAAAAAATCCCTGAGGGAACAGAGAGTTCCTTGTGGCTCTTGCTGCATACGGAAGACGCCCTTGCCCTCATCATCCTCGAAACCAATCATCATCACATCATCCTTCTGCGTCTCAAGGAGCTTTTCAGCTTCCTGTGGAAACTTACATGACAATCATGAATCATGATGACTGAGTAAGTAACCATAAACATTCACAAGTATCATATTTTCGGATGTGGAAACTTACATGACAATCATGAATCATGATGGCTGAGTAAGTAACCAGAAATATTCACAAGTATCATATGCTCGGATCAACTGTGACCGTGCCTGTTGGATCTTGAAGTTCCCATAGACCAAGGCAATAGGTGGTCCGTCATGGTCCAATGCAGCATCTGCATTATCCTTGGCCTGAAACCAAACATTGCCATCCACATCGAAGATAGCATGGCCCTTGCCATGATGCTCGAGCTTCAGCAACTTGTTTCCTTGCGGTGCCTCTTCCACCGAATCAAGCTTGCGTTTCTGTCTTGTGTTCCCTTCCGATCCCTCAGTCCCTGCTGCATTTGGTCCAGATCCTTCTCCAGAATATGGAACTCCTGCCTTGTTGAATTTTGCATTGTGTGCCTTGATGACCTTCTGCCATTCTTCTTGGACTTCTGGGATTGACAGCTTCTCCTCCATGGTCTTGAGGAATGTAGCACGCAAGGGAAGCTCATTGGATGCAGATGGAAAACAGCACGTGAAGTCTGTAGAGGCAAGTGTTGGGATCACCCGGGTCTCTTGCCAAGATGAAACTGGCTCCCACCCTGGAACAACAATGATGCCCTCTGTGGCCAAGGCCTGGATTCTTCGCTTGATTGCCACTGAGAGCCAGGTTGCAACCTTGAGTGAGTCAGCCCTTTTGTCAGCCCCAGCAGCCTCACGTGTGTTGGCTTCCGCCCAGACCAAACCAACATAAAGGAAACTTGGTAGCTTGCTGTTGGATGAGAGTCGCATGATTGCCTCTGCCATGGAATGGTCATACGCAAATGAATCGATCACTGTGCATGGTTGTGGACTTGTCAAAACCCATCCCAACCAGAAGGCCTTGCAGCCAAGCAGAGGCAACACTCCAACCACTCAGCCACTGTTTGCGCCTTGATGGACGGCTCAGGTCGAATGAGCCAGCTGCCGTGGAGAAGTCCCGTCTCGGGTCCACAAAGTTTTTCACTGGGTTCATGAGCACAGCAACATCCTTCATTGCTGGAATCACTTGGCGCTTCCAAACAGGACTTTTCGCAAAGACGCTCACATACTCTCCATCAGTATCCCGCAAATCAGAAACAGCCATGTAGAACTTGTGCACCGCAGGTCTGCCGGACTGCTGGGGAAAGCTGCCAAAGTCAAACATGAGCATCACTTCTCGCACCACCAAGCGATGCTCAGGCATTCGCAAGACTTCCAGCAGTTTGGCATGCAGTGATACAATCTCATCTTCAACATATTCGTTGCCAAATGGCCCCACTGTGGGGCAAGCCAAAATGAGACAGGAATCTTTTGGCTTGGATGCCATGAGACCACTGTACTCCTTGACTGCCAAGACAGTGTTCTTCACAGCATCATAACCCAGCGTGCTGGAATTGAGCCAGTACACCTTCAGCTGATGCCCTGAATCTGACCGAACCAATTCCTGCTCTGAAAGGAAACGGTGAAAGGAGGCCTCGTAGAATGTGGTTCCATGTCCCACTTCATTGAGATCCCTCACAGGATACACACTCTCCTGGTGTGCAGCAACAGTCTGCCTTTGATTTTCTTTCTGCTTTTCCACAAGCTCTGCTCGCAATCCCAAGCCCACCTTGTTGAAGGTCTCAAGCTTCTCGACAAACTCTTGGAATTTTCCTTCCTCCTTCTGCAATCGAGCCACTGCTTTTTGAACTTCGGCTTTCTGCAATGCTTCATTGGCTTTCTGCTCATCAACAGCAGGGCCCAAAATAGCAGCAGCAACATTGAATTCACTCAGAAACCGGAAATCAGCTGCAGTAAGCCCTGGCGACTGGACTTTGCATTTCTCATTGAACTCAGCATCAAGGTATCCACGAATGAACTTCTGGTCCACAGCCCCCAGCTGATCTTGGGTGAGCAGCTTCTCAAACATGGGCCTAAAGTGGCTGTAGACACAACTCATCTCCCAGGCCTCATGATCAGGTCGAGGGTCACGGAGTTGTTGGATCCCTGAGACCAAGTTTACCTTCTTGCGAAGGCGCTTTGCCTCAGACAACTTGTGCAGGAAGAACCTGACTCGCCTTGCAATCCACCAGTGTCGTTTGTGATCATTTGGGGCAAAGATCGTCTTCCAAAGGGCATCATCTGCAGCACGTGGTTTGGAGCCATTTCCTGGTCCAGCAGGCATCCATGAGCAAATCAGATTGATTTATAAGATGCTTTTGAACCATATTTTATTTTTTCAAAGTGATGTATTTTGAACAATTGTTTAATCTTTCTAAGTGCAAGCTTAGGATCGAAGCAAGTCAGTGCCCAGCATTGTCAGTGTCAGGCCAGACTGTTTGGCTTGGAAATTTCCCCAATGGTAGGTGATGAGCTCTTGGGTTTCCGGCAGGAGGGTTGGAAACATCTTGATCACAGCAGCCTCAAGCGGTGAGATCTTTTTGTGGTCTGACGAATTCCCACCATTGAAGTCCTGGATGAGATCATCGATGCCTTCATTCCATGTCTTACCGGCCTGAGCAAGGATTTGCTTGAACATGAAGGAAACCTGAATTGCGTCTGGCCGAGGTCTTGAGGATTCACTGAACTTTTCTGCCAAACAATTGAACTGATCAATCTTCTGGTCACCGGACGTCTTGTGGATACATCTGAAACCATAGC